CCGTAAGCCATGTGGCTCCTTTCTTGAATTTGAAAATAAAATGTTTTAATTAAGTTCTGGTTTATTAGATTCAAGTTCAGTGTGTTGCAAGAACAGGGAAATTTTATCTAGAATCTTCCTGTTAACTTTGACTCTTTGGTTCTAAGCCAGTGCATGTCTCCCAACCGTCGCCTGGAAGGTGGCAGGAGCATTTCCAGTCCCACCTCTTGCAGCCCTACCCCTTGCAGCCTGTGCAGAGCACATCACTGACAGGGTCTGAGAGTGTCTCCCCTCCCCCACCTACTTACTTGTCTGAAGAAAAAGGCTCCTGTTGCTGAAGGAAAGCACTTAAATGCTAACATCAGATTTTGAGGATGAGAGACCCCTTTTTGGAAAACTCAGGCAGGGCAATGTGACTGCACAGCCAGTGCCCTTATGCGTGGACATCTCTCAGGCTCTAGAACAAAGAAGAAGTTAATGTGGGCTTTAGAAGTTCTGCGCTGTACGGCCAGCCACGGGCCACGGCTGTCACGAGTTCAGTGGTCTGCATAGACGCACAGCTTGGCCTGCACAAGACTGTCTCCTTGTAGAGAGGGAATGCCGCAACCAAAACTAAGCAGGGCAGTGTGACAGGTTTTCAGGTTGGATGCTCATGAAAGGCCATGTGGACAAGGTAACATTTACGCTGAAACTTTAGAGTAGGTAGAGCGGGACAGCTAGCTTGGCTCCAAAGCAAGAATGTTGGAGGAATAGAAAGGGGGCCATGTTGCTAAGCACAGTGAGTGAGCGGTACATGGTGAGAGAAGGTCAGCAAGGTAGCCAAGTGCCCATCAGATTAGGCCTTAGAGACCAAGGTTAGGAGCTGGGTTTTATTTTAATGTCAATGAAGACTTGAAGGGAATTGAGCCGAAATGAAAGGTGATAGTGTCAGAGCCACGGGTCATGACTGACCCATGAGTGTGCACCTGAGGTTAATAGAAAAAGAAAGTAGGAGTGGAAAAGAATCAAACCTAACACCTCTTTCATTTCTTCACAAATCAAAAGGCAACTTCATTCTGACCATAGCTATGCCAACCTCAACTGTAGCATCTGATTCAGAACTTGTTCCTGGGCTAAGACTGCGTGGATTCAGATCTTTGCCTTGTGCACTCCCAGCTGTGCCGCCTCGAACACATTACCCTCCCTGTCTGGGTGGCTTCATCTGTAATGTGGAGTAAGAGTGGAGTCCCCTCATAGGGTTGTTAGTACGCCTATGAAGTGGTTGTTACAACTTTCTTAGTTGTGCTTACAGGGCAGGTAAAAGTTCTCTTTCCTGTAGATACTCCCTGTTCTTTCCTTTTTTCCCCCTTTGCTTATGTAATGGGGGGGCGGGGGAGAGAGACCAAGCATGAAGCAGGGTTTCTTTTTTTGTTTGTTTGCTTGTGAGGAAAAGGTTGTTGAATCTAATCTTAAGAATGTTTGAATTAAATTTTCTTTGCCCAAGGATGATACTTTTATCTTATATGATTGTTCTTTGAATAAGCAGTAAAAAAATAAAATAAAATTGGGAGGCTTTATGCTTTCTTCCTGAAAAGAAGCTTTAGGGCTTTGGGCCAAAATGTGGCTTGAAATGAATTTTAGAAGCAGCCACAGCAGGCAGTCTGCGGGGTCCAGCCGGTGACTGGCACGGTCCCCCAGGACTGCGGAAGTGCCCTGCCAGCACCTGCTGCACAGCCTCTGGGCAGGACCTGTGGAGGGAGAGTGGGCCCCAGGCCCCTGTGGGCCCCTCGGGATCACACCAAGCAAATGTTTTACATTTCGGCACACTTTTCCCCAATCCGCGTGATTTCAGTTCTCTCTTATGTGGGTTTTACAGAGTAGGCAGCTTCTGCCGCTGAGACCCTTTTCCTAAGGAAGAGGCTGGCACAGGCTGTCAGCCATTAGAGACCTGAGGCGGCAGCCACCACTGCCCTCCTCCCCAGTTTCTCGAGCTGCAGAGTGACCCGGGTTCCGTGATGCAGTGCCAACTCCTGGCATATGACCAGGGACAAGGAGCAAACACAGCATGGACATGCAGGAAAGGATTCAGGAACTCTGTTGCCATAACTGTCACTTCTTCCCTTTGTGGTCATCAGGAAAAAATACACGAGCATGGTGTGGTGATGCCTTCCTGGTGTGAGTCTCAGGGTCGCCCGAGCCCATCAGGTGTCTGGAAGGCCAACTCTGAGTCCCTGGGCTGTTCCACAGCCACGGAGAAGAGGACTTGGGAGAGAGAAGGAGGCCGAGGCTTAGTGAAGAAGGGAGGACCGTTAAACCTCCCTAGACAGTGTTCAGCAGGAACATAGCTCATCCTGTACCTGAGTGCTGCTCTGCCAGGTGACAGTTGGGTCCAGAATTCCCTGAATGGAAGGACTTTAGAGGCATCAAGGATGTCTGGGCTCAACCCTGAACCACAGCCGCCCTTGTATTTTAGAACGGCTCTCAATCTGGGACCCCTCAAAGGATGCCCTTGAGAGTCATCCATGTTGTTGTTTATTAGTAGTTTGTTCCTTTTTGTTGCTGAGTAATATTCCATTGTGTGAATGAACCACCATTTGTTTATCCATTTCCTAGGTGACAGATATTTGGGTTGTTACAGTTTTGGGCAAATATAAATAAAGCTGCTATAAACATTTACATGCAGGTGTTTGTGTGAACACAAGTTTTCATTTTACTTGGGTAAATACCCAAGAATGCGATTGCTGGGTCATATGATAAGTGTATGTTTAACTTCATAAGAAACTGCCATGCTTTATGTAAAGTGGCTGAACCATTTCACATTCCCACCAGCAATGTATCATAGTTTCAGTTGCTCACCATCCTCACCAGCACTTGCTATTGTCAGATGTTTGCTTGTTGGCTTGTTCATTTGTTATTTAACTTGTCTAATAGATGTAGTGATAAATTATTGTGCTTTTAACTTCCATTTTGCTCATTTCAAATGACGTTGACTAAATATCATTCACGTGTTTATTTGCCATCTATATTGTTGAATTCTCTGTTCATATCTTTTATCCATTTTTTAAATTGAGTTGTTTCCTTTTTATTAAGATCCAATGTATCATTTTTTCTTTTATGGATCATATGTTCAGTGTTGTATCTAAGAAATATTTACCTAATTATAAATCACAAAGATTATCTTCTAAATGTTTTATAGTTTCAGATTTTACACTTAAAGTCAGTTTGAGTTCATTTCTACAGTAGATGAAAGATGTGGATTGAGGTTTCTTTTTTACTCTTTTTGCTTATGGATATCCAACTGTTCCTGTACCTGTTGAATATCAGACTCTCCTTTCTCAACAGAATTGAATTTTTACCTGTTTCAAAAATCAACCGACACATATGTCATAGTTTGGATTTCTGTCTACTCATGTTATCTACTTGTATCCTTTCTTTAATACTACACTGACTCGGTTACTGTTTCTTTATAATAAACCTTGAAATCAAGAAGTGTGAGCTCTCTAACTTTGTTCTTTTTCAGAATTGCTTAGGGTATTCCTGTGCTTTTCCATAAAAATTTAAATTCAGCTTATAGATTTCTACAAATACTTCTGCTCAAATTTTAATTGAAATTGTGTTAAATATATAGATTAGACTGGGAAGAATTGACATCAAATACTATTGAGCCTTTCTTTTTGCTTTGTTTTTTAATCTTTACTGTTGAGAGTATTACAGATGTCACCCTTTTTCCCCTGATTGCCCCCCTCACCCGATTCCCACCCCACTCCAGGCCTTCACCACCCTATTGTCTGTGTCCATAGGTAATGCATATCCTATATAATAAAAGCCCAGCGACTGAAACAGTGGAATGAGCAGAACAACCAGAGACCAGAACACCACGGCCCCTCGCCCTGGCTGGCCCTGCCCCCCAGGGAGAAGTTAGGGGTGATCAGGCAGGCAGGCAAGTGGTTAGGGGCAATCAGGCAGGCAGGCGAGTGGTTATGGGCGATCAAGCAGGCAGGTGAGCAGTTAGGGGCGATCAGGCAGGCAGGCGAGCAGTTAGGAGCTAGCGGTCCTGGATTGAGAGAGGGATGTCCGACTGCCAGTTTAGGCCTGATCCACAGGGATCCTTGTGGGATCGGGCCTAAACCGGCAGTTGGACATCCCCCAAAAGGTCCCGGATTGCAAGAGGATGCAGGTCGGGCTGAGGGACCCCCCCCCCGCCCCGTGCACGAATTTCATGCACTGTGCCTCTAGTATGCATATAAGATCTTTGGTTAATCTCTTCCCACCCCCACTTCCTCCTTCCCTCTAAGATTCGTCAGTTTGTTCCATGTTTCCATGCCTCATTCTATTTTATTCATCAGTTCATTCTGTTCATTAGATTTTTTTGTTCATTTATTTTGCATTTTAGATTCAGTTGTTGATAGATATGTATTTACTGACCTTTTATTGTTCATATTTTTTTATCTTTTTTTTCCCTTCTTCTTCCTCTTCTTAAAAATACCTTTCAACATTTCATGTAATACTGGTTTGATGGTGATAAACTCTTTAGCTTTTTTTTTCTCTGAAGCTCTCTATCTGACCTTCCATTCTAAATGAGAACTTTGCTAGGTAGAGTAATCTTGATTGTAGGTCCTTGCTATTCATCACTTCGAATATTTCTTGCCACTCTCTTCTGACCTGCACAGCTTCTGTTGAGAAATCACCTGATAGTCGTATGGGCACTCCCTTGTAGGTAAGTAACTGCTATTCTCTAGCTTCTTTTAAGAGTCTCTCTTTTTCTTTAACTCTTGAGTTTTTTTATGTGTCTTGGTGTGGACCTCTTTGGATTCCTCTTGTTTGGGACTTTCTGTGCTTCCTGGACTTATAAGTCTATTTCTTTCACCAGGGAAGTTTTCTGTCATTATTTCTTCAAATAAGTTTTCAATATCTTGCTCTCTCTCTTCTTCTGGCACCCCCATAATACAAATGTTGGTACATTTGAAGTTGTCCCAGAGGCTCCTTACACTGTCTTCATATTTTTGGATTCTTTTTTCTTTTTCGTCTTCTTTCTTTTTTTTTTAAGTATGGAATGCTTAATGAATTTGCATGTCATCCTTGCACAGGGGCCATGCTAATCTCTGTATCATTCCAATTTTAGTATATGTGCTGCCGAAGCAAGCACTCTTTTTGGTCTTTAGACTGGGTGTTTTTTGCTTCCTCATATTCCAAATCATTGATTTGATTCTCTGAATCCTCTACTCTACTGTTGAATCCCTATAAATTATTCTTTATTTCAGTTAGTGTATGCTTAATTTCTGACTGATCCTTTTTTCATGTCTTTGAAATTCTCACTAAGGTCCTTGAAAGTCTCACTAAGTCCCTTGAAGCTCTCATTAAGATCCTTGAACAACCTTATAACCATTGTTTTGAACTCTGTACATAGTAATTTGCTTGATTCCATTTCATTTTAGTTCTTTTTCTGGAGATTTCTTCTCTTCTTTCATTTGTGACCTGTTTCTTTGTCTCCACATTTTGGCTGCTTCCTGTGTTTATTTCTATGTATTAGGTAGAGCTGCTATGTCTCCTGGAATTGGTAGAGCCTTGTATAATAGATGTCCTTTATGGCCCAGAGGCTTAGCCTCCCCTGTCACCTGAGCTGCACACTCTAGGTGCGCCCTTGTGTGAGCTGTGTGCACTGTTTTCTTGTAGTTGAACCTTGATTGCATCACTGGGAGGAATTGACCTCCAGGACAATTGGCTGTGAGGACCAGCTGCAACTAAAGTGGAAGAACTGCTGTGCAGCAGACACCCCTATGGAGCAGGACTTGCTTCAGTGGGGCTTTGGTGCTCACTGAGTCTGCCCCTTGAATGTGTAGCTCGTGGATGTGTAAAGTTGTAATCTGGTATGGTTTGAAGCTGTCCACTTGGTGCACTGGCTCTGGGGCCTCCTTGGAGGTCCAAAGTCAGCTACTGCCTAGGGCCACCTGGCAGGAGCTATAAAGCGATCTGCAGATGGCTGCTACTTGTGTTGGGCTTAGACGTGCCCAGGTGGGGCCTCTTATTGATAGGTATGGGGCACAGTGATGCCAACTGCTGCTTGTTTGAGAGATTTCAGGCAAGTCTGATGCCTGAGCCAAGACAGGCCATTTATATGGAAAAGCCATTGCAAACAGCTTGGGTGAGGCTGCAAATTGGATGGGGTGGGGTCTCAGGGAATCACCAGGGCAGAGCGAACAGTGTGATCCAGGCTGGTGGAAACTCAGATATGGCTGCCAGTCAGCTCTGCAATGGGGAAGGTCTCAGAATAAGAACAATGACCTTGTCTTGGAGAAAGCTGTCCCCAAGTTTTTGCTCTGATGCCAGACAATCTGGTTCCTCCCTGTATGTCTCTGGATTCCCCTGAGCTGTTGCCCTAGTGCTGGAGTTCAGAGGGAGTGAGTCCATGTAAGTTCATGCACCAGCCCTTTAAGAGAAACTGTCTGGGTCTCCAGCAGCCTCCATGTCACTCAGCCACAATCCCTGCTGGTTTTTACAGCCCAAAAGTTATGGGAATTTCTCTTTCCAGCTCTTTACCTATGCTGCCATCTTGGCTCTCTCTAATATAAATATTATTTTTATATTAATTTATTCTTCATGTGTTTATAATATTGGTCCTGTTGGGAAAACTCATTTATTCATTCATCAAATATTTATTCAACATCTATTCAACATCTATTAAATGACAGGCTTTGTACAAGACACTACAGAGAAAATAAAAATAGAGCATTAAGTCAGCCTCTAAGAAGCTTAGATTTATGTAGGAAATGTAAGATATTTTTCCAAATGAGAGTAACACCATGTAAAAAGTACAGGTTATGCCATAGTCCCTTAGGGTCAGGTCCTCCGTAGGCAAAGCTCTGGGTGGGGTTAAGAAGGAGGCAGGCAGTTTTCCTGTCCCTGCTCAGAGTGCTTCTTAGGACTGTGCAGTGGATCAGAGACGGCCCCTGAGTTGTTCTCTTAGTTGCAGGTTGGGTTACATGCTAATCCAAGAGATAGGGTAGGTTTAGTAATAACTAAGGCCTGACTAGGACTAAGGGAGGTTGAAATATGTACCTGTTTGTTTTGATTCTCACAAGAAGGGCAATTTCTAACAAAATGAACCTAAAAGAAAAAATGCTCAGCCAACCACATTTTTCCTTCCAAAGCTCAGAGACCCTAGGAGGAGGATGAAGCAGAAAGAATGCCCTGCCAAAACTGCTCCTTCCAGACTCTGAGGTTCAGTCAGAAATATAGGATGGGCTTCAACTTCAAGGGAGAGGAAAATGTAAGATGGGGGACAGTGGGCTAATTCAGGGACAATAGGAAGAGAGACTACTGAAAAGAGGAAATGCATTCAGCTGTGCACTGTGCATTACAATCCTCTTTTCCTTTCCTGCATGAAACTTCAATGTCAAGGTTGGAAGGAGGTATTATAGAAAGTTGTTTCCAGGATTCAGAGAAGTGGGAGATGAGCAATATGGGAAGAGGAAGCTCCTAGAGCAGAAAATGGGTAATATTTGAATATGCAGAAACAGGGAGAAGGCCAGGCCAAGACACAGGGGGGGGGGGGGAGACAAGGATTACTAGCTGAGAACAGTAACGCTTTGGCCCTCAGGCTCATGCTTGGGACCTCATGCATGGAATGGAACAGGCTGCCGGGGATTTGTGGGGAGAAAGCTACAAAGAGACTTTGGAGGTAGGTTGGGTGAGGCCAGGCTAAGGAGTTGGAACTGAATTTGGTAATGAATAGGAGGTGAGGAAAGAGTTTTGAGCATAGAAGGAATGAGATATGAATTTTGAGGCAGTTATTTTAAAATGGTTCCAATGTGTGGCCTCTACCTGTGCCTCAGTCTCCACATCTATGAAACAGAAATAATAGTACCTATGTGACATGCTTGTGAAGACTGCATGAGTTGATACACGTAAAGCTGTTGGAATAGTGCCTGACATGTGAAAGGTGCTATAAAAGTGTCATCTTATATTAGATTATCATCCTTGTCATCATTATTTTAGGAACATTGGTTGAAAAGAAAGTAGGGGATTTTGAGCAGGTAATGTTTCTGAAATTGTTTTGAGCACATTAATGTTTCTGAAATTGTTTTTTTTAAATATGTAAAAAGTAGGGGGAAACGGAGGGAGCATGAAGCTAGCTCCCTGTGCCTCAGAGACCCCTATTGCAGAGCAGCCATTGCTTCAGCAGAAATTAGTGCTATGAAAGGCTGGAGGTCACCAGTAGTTAAAGAACCAGCTCACAGTCCCCAGTGCCCAGGTCCCCTTTGCCACCCTGATGCCCCAGAATACCCTGTCCTCTCCACTATTGGAAATTCCTAGCCAACGGCTCTGAAATCAGCTCTCAGCCACAGAGGCGCTTCCCTTCTGGCTGTGGGCACTCCCCAGGGACCCAGAGGGAGCTTCCTGGGTAGGCTTGGGATGAACACAGAGCGCCCTAGGCTATCTCAGCGGAAGTCTCGATTAAAACAGCCCAATTCATAGTCCAGCTTTACCACTATCATGTGCAAATGGTGTGACCTTGAGCCTCACTTTCCCCATCTGTAAAGTGAGGTGTGAATACCTTTTCCAGGGGCTGTTACTAGTAGGAAAGGCATGAATACAGTACTTGCACCTAGGAGATTGCTCAGTAAACAGCAGTGGCTGCTATGGTGAGCGCAGGGGTTGTCATTAGTCATCGTTAGTTCTCTTGGTGAGCATGGTCAGGCAAGGCCAGCTCCAGTGCTCCGCTGCCATGAGGTCAGACCGCATTCCTCAGCCCAGCGCTTTCTCTCTGCCCTGGTCGCAGGGGCGCTGTGTTTGTGCCCACATCCAGCATGTCTGTGACTTCCCCTGTGGTAGCAGTGCCATTTATAATGTGAGCACTACTCAGAGAGGCTGAGTGCCAGAAGGAGGGAAAGGCCAGGGCAGGGGCTTTCTGCTGAAGTAAAGACCAGAAATGCTACCCCGTGGGTCTCAGGGAATTGTGAAGAAAGTGCACTCAGGGGACCTCTGGACTCAGTCTGGGTGACTCGGGATGCATTGAGTCTGTAGCAGGCAGCGAGGGGGTGTCCTTTCCATATCGCCAAGTCCTCCTTCCTGAGTGGTTCCTATTTCATCACAGAGATAAGATGGCCCCAAATCTCTGTGATGGGAACGTGGCTCAGCCCTCCACCGCAGCTGTGGCTGCTGCATTGCCCTTCACTGACATAGTGCTAGAACACTGCAGGCGCTCAGTAAATACTCAGTGGCTGAGTTCATGAAGCCCAAAGTGGGTCTGAAGAAGTCACAGACGGAGGCGCCACTGGATCTCACATTCAGGTCCGTTTCCCTCCGATGCACTGGGACGGCTGGAAAAGTTCTTCGAGCTTCTGTCATATCCTGGTCATTGTCATGTGTCCTGGGCACTTGGAAATGTACTGCAAGGGATGGATGCCCACAGAGAGTGATTTCTGAATGAGCTTCCTGCCTTAAAGCAAAGGTCGATTGCAGTTAGAAGGACACCAGGTGAATGAAGCCGCCAGGGGAAGGAATGGGGTGAAAGGTTGCTGGAGCTCAGATTACTGTGGGCGCTTAATGGATGCTAAATAATTGAAAGAATAAAGTAAGAGGGTGAATGCTGCATTGATGAACCTGTGGTGAACTCAGGGGGTCCTAGAACATTTGCAAATTGGTCATTAATGTTTCATCAACACTGTCTGCATCCTTTGTTAATTTTGAATGGTAGCAGGAGTTTCCAATCACAGGGATACAGCTTCAAGGGAAACTTAAGTAGAGGAATTATGGCTGGCCTACTCTTCTACCCAATAATTTGGGTTTATTTCAAAATAGTCTGATAGCTGGGAATGCCCTTGTATTGGCTGCTAATGTGCTTAGAGGGGACTGGGCAGCTTTCACACCGTGACATGTGGAAGGGGATTATGGATTTCAGAGTATCACAGCTTTATTGTTTCTTTTGCTTTGCCCAATTTTGAAGTGAAGCTGAAATGACTGCATGATGGGAGGGGACGATGAGGTATAGGGAGTAATAATTCCTCTCATCTAGAAAGAATGCTGTCTTCAAAATGAGTTTTGCTGTTGGCAAAGCAGAGAACATGCTCACGTGACTGTACCCTGCAGCGAGTGGCAGGAGGAGCGCCTTGCCTGTGTGGAGAGCTACAATGGCAGCGGATTGCT